TTTAAAAAACTTTAAAGTGGGTATAGAAGAATGCTAAAAAATGACTAAGGACACACACAATGAGGGAAATAGTTATGATTCTTGTTGAAAAGATATACACATCCATGCATAAACACAGACACATTAAATCACTGAAGTAGCAGTTTTACCCATTTAATGGATACATTAAAAATAAAAACAAATGTTAGCAAGAATGGGTATGGTACAACCGGCAATTTTATGCATTGTAAATAGATGTTTATATCACTGCTGGAAAACATTTGATATTACATATAATGGCCACATAACTGATAATATTGTTTGACAAATTATCCTTTTTTTTTTTCAGACCCTGGCATCATAGCATACAGTAACCTCAAACTCTTGGGCTTGAGCAATCCCCTTGCCTCAGCCTCCCGAGTAGCTGGGACTATAAGTGTGCACCACCACAACCAACCAGTTTTTCTATTTTTAGTAGAGACAGGGTCTCACTCTTGCTCAGGGGGTTCTCTAACACCTGAGCTCAAGTAATCCACCCACCTCGGCCCCCCAGATTGCTAGGATTATGGGCATGAGCCACTGAACCTGGCCTAGGTTGACTGAGGAAATCATTAATAATTATAAATGTATTTATGATAACAAAAACTCAAAAACAACATTAATAGTCAAAAATAGGTATGTAGCTGACCTTCTGATATTGCTTCTCTAGTAGAGAATATGCTGCCATTAAAAACAATATTTTTTAAGATTTCTTAATGACTTGACAAAAAGTCCTTAAATTTAAAAAATACCCATGTTTTAAGATGTCAGTTTTTGAAAAAAGCAAATGTATGTATGCATCCAATGTTGATAGAATATATCAGCAAATAACAAATTTTCAAATAAAGCAGTACTACTTTTAAATGTAATGTAAAAATGTTATTTTTTACAAGAAAGTACCTTTGAAATCAGGTAGACATTAAGAGGCCATGAGAGAAAGGAGAAGGTGGTTCATTCATATAATTTTACCTGTAATTTGATCAAAGAAAATGTTTGAAAGGGTTTGTTGAAAAAAATGCCTTTCTCTCTATTATTATAATGATGAAAACATAAAACTATTAGAAAATCCCTTAGTAAATTATCATATATCACATAGGAAAAAATAAATGCTCAAAATAATGGATCAACTTAAGAAATAATCTTGTACTAAAACTAAACAATAACAAAATATAAAATAGAGTGCATCTTTCATATAGATAAATATAAATTAGAAAAATAGCTAGATAAGTTAAATTTAGGGTAGTCATACAAAGTAATACTATTCAGCATTGAAAATGAATGAAGTATAACCATGGGAATAAATATCAAGAATATAATAAGAATGTAGTTAATTCTCTGAGTTAATTACATGTAGTTAGAACATGTAAAATTAAACAATATACTATTTGGAAATACACTACTTAAGTGCTAAAATTCCTTTTACAAATATATGATAAATAAACAATCAGGATATTGGCTGTTTCTGAGATAAAAGTAGTGAGTTTGGGGCTCATGCATGTTTTCTACCATACTAGAAATATTCTTAAGATCTGGGACAGATCTGATTTATCTTTACTTTATATACTAAATTTGTAATTGCTAGTTTTTCTTTTATTTTTTTCTAAATTTTCTATAATATATTTACTTTACTAAGAATCTCCATTATTGTGTTGTTATCCAAGCACAGCTGGATCTTTGGTTTCTTCAGTTTTATTAATAAAGTTCAATATGTTTCT